CCAACCTTGTTATAATGTAAAAATGTCCGCTTAAAGATTTTCCGCGTAGCTTTCATAAAAAAAACTAATTCCTAATTTTGTCATGTCTCATAACTGCTGGGAACCGAAGATTGACAAACGCACTTCAAAACTTTCGCGACTTTTCCTCCCACGATAATTTCGAATCCAAAACGGTATACACCGGTCACCTATCCATGTCCTGATTGAGTAAAAAGTGTTGCTTCCTGACGATCAAGCGGCACGTGGTGATTCTAACAATGTTCTTACAATTTATGCTTATATAATGTGTAAAAAACGAAAAAAATAATTTTTTCGTTTTTTCTACGTTCCTGAATTTTTTTTTCATACTCGGTATTAATCTTTTATTAAAATAACCTATGAAATCTTTTAAGTTAATATTTGAAAACTATTTTGGAACTTTTTTAAGTGAAAAAATCAATAGCTTCCACGCAACAAGCATTTCAGTGATTGGGACTCAAATGGCCTAGCTATAATATGGCTGTGGTGAAATGTGCCAACTAATGTTTAATAATAATTAATTTTATTATTATTATATTGGGAGTACAAATAAGTCCGCGCCGTTTTTTATAAAAAATTGGGCATTTATTGTGAAAGAACGGTACCTTATGTTTTATTCAAAGTATTGTCCATCGCTAGCCACTACTTTTTCCCATCTTTCTGGCAGCATACGGATACCATGTCGGAAGAACGCTTCATCTTTTGAGGCTACCCACGATCAATCCAATTTTTTGTATTTTCATATGATATGAAGTGCTGCTCAGACAGGCCGTGCGTCATTGATTGAAACAAGTGATAGTCAGAGGGAGCATGTATGGTGAATACGGCGGGTGGGGTAAAACTTCCCAATTGAGTGTTTCCAAGTAGGTTTTGACCGGCGCCGCAACATGTGGACGAGCATTATCATGCAGGAGAATAATTTTGTCGTCTAGAGTGATAGTGGGCGCGTTTTTCCTTGAGTGCTCGGCTCAATCTCATCAATTGTGTTCGGTAGAGAGCCCCCGTAATGGTTTCGTTCGGTTTGAGCAACTCATAATACACAACACCAAGCTGATCCCACCAAATACACAACATGAGTTTTTTTCCATGAATATTCGGCTTGGCTGTCGATGTCGAAGTTTGGCCACGTGATCCCCATGATTTCCTCTTCTTTGGGTTATCGTAGTGGATCCATTTTTCATCACTAGTGACTATATGATGCAAAAAACCCTTTTGTTTATGCCTGGCAAGCAGCATTTCACATGTGCAAAATCGGCGTTCAACGTTTCTCGGCTTCAGTTCATATGGAACCCAATTTCCTTGCTTTTGAATCATTCCCAACGATTTTAAACGATGTGAAATTGCTTGTTGAGTCACTCCTAATGTAAGTGAAAGTTCTTCTTGCGTTTAGCACGAATCTTCCTCTAATAATGCTTCCAATTCCGCGTCTTCGTATACTTTCGGCCTTCCGCTACGTTCTTTGCCTTCAACGTCAAACTCACCGTTCTTGGACTTTTGAAACCACTCACGACAACTTCTCTCACTTAAAGCAGCCTCACCATATGCTTCTACAAGCAATCGATGCGCCTCAGCTGCAGATTTCTTCAAATTAAAGAAGTAAATCAAAAGTTCCCGCAAATGACGCTTATTCGGCTCAAAACTCGACATTTTCGCACGAAAAAAATTATGTGATGCTGATACAAAATCGCTAATATTTCAAATTTATATTATTGCCAGATGTCCAACCTTACGATATAACGTTTTACATCTGACAATTTCAATCATAACTTACTGGTGGAGCCATCTTTTGTTCAAACGGCGGAGACTTATTTGTACTCCCAATATAATAAAATATTTTTTATTAATATTATCAATAATATAATTTTCAATGCTCCTCAAATATTGTTGCAACATTGCAAAATATTGTAGTTTTTGTTTAATATATATCCAACATTGCATCTATATCTTGTAATCTATATATGCTGAAAAATCAACATAAATTTCATGTAGAAAAAAAAATCCCAACCAGCAAAATAATATCAAAAAAACATTTTTAAAAATATATAAAAAACATTTACAAAACATTTTTAAAAACGTTAAAAACAATGGATTAAGTTCACTCTTTTTTAATTAAAAAAGTTTTTTAAAATGTTTCGGAAAAAACGTTTTTAAAATATTTTAAAATATTTAATAAACGTTTTTTAAATATTTATTAAACGTTTACGTGAATATTTATAAATATTATAAAAATATTTAAAAAAATATAAATATTTATCTATTTTTTTGAATTTTTCTTAAATTTTCCACTTTATTGTTTCACACGTTACTTAATTCAATTTAAATTGTACTTCGAAAATTTGCTTACCACGCTAGAACTCAAAACCTGAGACCTTTGCGCTTTTTGAGTCGTTCACCTTGCCCACTGCGCCACTGTCACTTTCACCGAGAGACACTTTATATTGTATATATATGGTATATCCACGTACGACACAAATGATTTATTAAAAAGAAAAGATTAGATCTTTTTTTAAATGTAAAAAGTATGTTTGAAAAATAAATATTAAATCAATACTAAAGAAATATTTATTTAAATATTATTTTAAACATTTTATTTAATGTCAAATAAACGTTAAATGAATGTTATATAAATATTTTTCTTAAATCTTTATTTTAAATATTTAATAGATGTTATATAAACGTTTAATAAATATTAAATAAATATTATTTTTACAATAAGCTGTACAATGTAATATCAATGAAAAATAAATATTTAAAAAATGTTTAAAAAACATTGTCTGCTGATTGAGTAGTAATTGTCATAGAAAATAAATTTTTGTACAAAAAATAATATTTAATAACTTTATAAACATATTCCTCTAATAATGAATTATCTTTCATAGTTTTTCTATAGTAATAATAAAGCAATTTATGTACTTATATACATCAGCTCATCAAGTGTCACTTATAATACTTGTATTACCGTTATTGGAATTTGTAGTTTCACTTCTGACATTACTGGTATCACTAATAGTATCACTGCTAATACTAGTAGTGTTACTATCAGCACTAACAGTGTTACAATTAGTATTATTAATTTCACTACTAGAGTCATTAACAATGCTACTATTAACATTAATAGTGTCAGCACTAATAGTGTAACTAACAGTGTCATTATTAGCACTAATAGTGTCACTATTAGCACTAATAGTGACACTACTAGCACTGCTAGTGAAACTATTAGTGACACTATTACCACTAATAGTATTTTTTTGTAAGAGTATGGCAACTATAATAATAACCTTTCAGATTTTATAAATATTATGCATAAGTAAATATTATGCGTAAATTTGTAGAAACTTTAAAAAACTTAGACATAATTAAACAGTAAATTTTTGTTCATGTGACTTATTTAAAATTCTGTACCATGTGATATCTCCCTTTCTGTTATATACAGTTTTTTAGAAAACCATATGCGACAGCATATCCTATCTAACAGCACGCAATTAAACAGTATACACTTTTCACCAATACTTAAGACATTTGTTGGTAATGTCCTAAAAAATATCTTAAATAAAACATAAGATATCTTTTAGATAAGTATGTGTTATATAATAACGTTATTGTGTTATTGTATACTATGTTCAATATGTGTTTGCTACACATTTATGAGTTCATATGATATAGATATTGAGATATTTTTCTGGTACAAATGCTGAAAAGAAATCTTAACTTCAATCATTTGGATAAACAAATCCATAATCTAAATCAACTGCAGTATAATAAAAGATAATGAATAAAACATATTCTCCCTTTTTAATAGTTAGTTTTAGAAAAATATTTTCAAACACATACATAAGCATTTAACAGTAATACATCTTTAATACGTTCCAAATAGAATACCAATAGAAGACCTGATAAAAACACCTTCATAGTATTTTCATAGTATTTTTATAATATTATGAAATACTTCTCTCTCTTTTTTAAATTTTATATTTTTTATATATTTTTATGATAACATACCCTAGTAAAAAAAAGTTTATAGAAAACGATAAAATAATTATTTTCTATCGTTTTGAATATGGATTTTGGTTCGTGAATTAATACAAAATATGAATAGTATTCTATCATATACAATAAAATACAATAGATATCCAGGTAGCAAGGTAACGTCTAAAGACCTGAGTAGTAATAGAATTTCTATTGTTAGTTTCCTATAGAATACAAAATCGTATATAACCGATAAAATACGATAGGATTTATATCTGAACTTGCGAGCGAGAACGATACAACTTAAAGAAAACGATTCAAATTGATAGCACTATCAATTTGAATCGTTTTCTTTAAGTTGTATCGTTCTCTCTCGCAAGTACAGATATAAATCCTATCGTATTTTATCGTATTTTCTGGTCATACATGATTTTGTATTCTATAGGAAACTACCCGGGAAAAAAGTTTATATATGAATTTTGTCCATATATGGTTATATATGATCATATATAATTATATATGTCGACATTGAAAAGAATACTATTATGAAGATACAATTGAAGTAAATGCTTATGATAGTCCATGATATCGATGTATAATCGAATTAAATTATGTTTTCTTTTTTTCATTTGACAATTTTCGTTTTATATATGAACATATATAATTAGATATGATCATATATAAGGTCACATATATAGACAAAACTCATATATAATTATATATAATCATATATATTTATATAAAATTTATATAATCTTTTTTTTTCGGGTAACAATAGAAATTCTATCACTATCAATTGTATTCTATTGTATACGATAGAATACAATTCACATTTGTGAATTCACGAACTAAAATCCATATTCAAAACAATAGAGAACGATAGAACAATAGGATTTTATTCTATCTTTCTCTATAAACTTTTTTTACCAGGGTAATGTGATATGGATCACATCAATATTATAATTTCTTATTCAACAATGTAAGTGTTGTTATAACTTGTGTTAAACTGTACTTACATTATTTACTACAAAACCATGACGTTGATGTAATATACTGTCAGTTGATTTTTACTAAGTTTATATAATATTAGGTGAAAAAATTGGGTAAAACTGAAGACCCCTCCTCCTCACCGATTTGGTTGAAACTTAACAACATTATGTAATTAGATGTGTAGAAAAGGAATATAAAAGTAAAAAAGTCGCTCGTAAATCATAATAAAATTATGATGCGGTAAAAACCTGCGGACAGGTTTTGAGATTATACAATCTGTCATATCAACGACGTATAGATATATGAACAAACCTTCATATTCATTTTCTACGTATCTAATTAGATAATATTATTAAGTTTCAATCAAATCAGTGAGGAGGAGTCCTTCAGTTTTACCATATATTTGAATATACATATCTAGATAGCACAGAGAATTCTAAAAGAATTCAGTCATATGTAACCAATTCTGAGTTCATTTTTAGATACAAAAAGAATTCTTTTCACTGAACTAAACTCTGAAGAATTCTTTTTACATCTGAAAATGAACTCAGAATTGGTGACATACTACTAAATTCTTTCTGAATTCTTTTTGAATTCTCTGTACTATCTGGGTAACACAACATTATTGAAACATTAGTATTCAAATATTTGCAAACGATGAACTGGGGGCTCCAGAGGGCAAAGCTCTCGGTCAAGGGGGGTTCGGGGGGGGCAAAATCCCTCCCGGTTTGATAAAAAAAATATTCTAAAAAAAAAGAAAATATATCTCACATAGTGTTAAACGTGTGTTGTTTTTGCATGCGATTCATATGTCCTACCTTGCATATGATTAACAAAAATAACATTCTAAATAAAAATAAAAATGCAAAAACAACATATGCTTAACATACCATGCGTTATATTTTTACTTTTTTTTAGAATGTTATTTTTATCAAACCGGGAGGACTTTCAGTTCCCCCGAACCCACCCTGACTGGGGGCTTCGCTCCCTGGACCCGCATGTGGCCACGGGTCTTATACATGTCGCTGTTGACGTTGGTTTGACAGTTTTCCTAACCTTAAAAGTGATCAAATTTATCAATTAATATCTCGCTTCACTGTGAAGAGCGACGATTTTGGCTTTTAGATTCGATTTCTACGTGTTAAAATATATTATCCTATCAAATTTTACTGAAATCGGTGAAGTTCCCTCTTTCCTTCATAATTACCTTTTTTTTTATTTCAAAGATTAATTAATATTTCTTTATATTCTTACTGAATATTTCTAATTTGGCGTAATTTTATGTTACTGCGCATGCTGATATACTTCAACACTGTCGACATGACAGATTCTATAACCTCAAAAACTATCATCTTTTATTGCATCATAACTTTATTACGATTGATGAGCGACATTTTTTACTTTTATATTCCTTCTAATTACATAATATTACACATTTGATTACATAATATTATTAAGTTTCAACCAAATCGGTGAGGACGAGGGATCCCTTTCAGTTATATAAAAATTGTATAGTTATAATAACAAATAAAAGTTTTACCTAAAAATAGTGTACTCTACAAAGTATGTCTCTTCGTTCCTTCCTTCCTTCCTTCAATATTTGGCTAGAGTAATGTCTCTTCGTTAATAGTAACAACAACAGAGTATACTCAACTAAAAATATTCAAAAACAACGAGAAAGCCCGATATTAGGCTGATATTTCACGTATCGTACGACAAGCTTTTTGGATACGTTCATTGGTTGACGAACAGAAAACCTAGAAATACTCTATTCGCCAACCAATAAACGTATCTGAAAAGCCTGTCGTACGACACATGAAATAGCACCCTTAAGCTTGATCTATAATGTGTATTTGCTTCCTGTTAATTTTTTGTTTATCTCTTTCTGACTCAAGCATTAAACCATAAACTAAAAAAAGACAGAAAACAAGAAACAAGAAGCAAAGAACACATTGTAGATCAGGCTTTAAACTGGGGGCACATAGAAAAACATAAGCAGTAATGGCTCCTGCACACAAGACGCGGTAATGCTTGCGCGCGGCGAAAGTCCGCGCGACAGCTAATCAATATGTTATTTTTCCGTAAGAGCTAGAAGGTTATTACGGAAAGCAGCATATTGATTGGCTGTCGCGCGAACTTCTGCCGCGCGGCAGGTATTAGGGCCGTGGCACACAGAAAAACTTAAGCTGTAAAGCCCATTCTACAATTGCGAGAACGTGGTTGTAAGTGGTTGTAAGTGATTACGATAACCTCTCAGAGTAAAGCAATCAGTAAATAAAACATTCGGATTGGTTGACTCTTACATTCATGACTATGCTTACGCAATTGTAGAATGGGCTTAAGACGTAAGCAGTAAGCAAATTGACCAATCACAGTCATTCATTCTTCTTACGGTCCAAGAATCAACGACTGTAATTGGTCTTCAGCCCATTCTACAATTGCGTGAACGTGATTGTAAGTGGCTGTATGTGATTACGACAACCAATCAGAATAAAGCAATCAGTAAATAAGACATTCGGATTGGTTGACTCTTACGATCACGATTACGCTTACGCAATTGTAAAATGGGCTTTACTGCTTATGTTTTCCTATGTGCCATTAGCTTTAGGGCCTTCACAGACAAATCAAGCGACACGGTAGTGTCGCGAGCCAAGTGCAAGCGCGAAGCATTGGCGGCCTACCGTGTTATATTACGCGACGACTTTAGTTGAATGTAGGTTACATCGTCATTTCGGCTATAACGGCTGAATTGACGAAGTTCTGGAGAGACTTAATCGATTCCTTGGGTTTACATTACTTAATAAAACTGTTTTTACTTTTTCTCTACGTGCTCCAGAAGCTGAGCTATTTTAGCTCAAAGTCTGAATTCGTGAATTTACGCGTAAGAAACGTCTCCTCACCACAGAAATGTGCATTGACATATCTTCTCCGTTAGATGGCGGCATGCTGAGAGTGTTACGATTACCGATTTATTTACCGACTTGTAACTGTCATCGCGGCGGAGTCGAATGACAGTTCACGTGTACGAGAATGGGGTTATAACAAGGTTATATTTTTAATGTATAATAGTCTTAAAAGTTTCAAAGTGTGTTTACCGTGATAATTTTGAAGAAAAACTAT